GGTGATGGAAATATCATGTACCTTTTTCTTCTTTTTTTTTTTTTAAGACAGATTTTCGCTCTCGTTGCCCAGGCTGGAGTGCAATGGTGCAGTCTTGTCTCGCCACAGCCTCCGCCTCCCGGGTTCAAGCGATTCTCCTGCCTCAGCCTCCCGAGTAGCTGGGATTACAGACATGCACCACCACGCTCAGATAATTTTTGTATTTTTAGTAGAAACAGGGTTTCTCCATGTTGGCCAGGCTGCTCTTGAACTCCTGACCTCAGGTGATCTGCCCGCCTTGGCCTCCCAAAGTGCTGGGATTACAGGCGTGAGCCACTGCACCCAGCCAAGGGAATATTGTGTACTTTAACTGTACTGGTGATTATGCAAGTATTTTGTTAGAGCTCATAGGGTTGCAACACTTTAAATTGGTGCATTTTACTGTGTATAAATTATGGCAAAAAAAGTTGATTTAATAACAAGGAAAGCTGTTTCTCTCTAAGATCTCTTCTAGCTCCTGGAAACCTTGACAAATATGCAGAATTACCTTCTCCTCGTTATGAAAATTCGCTTTTTCACACCGCCTCAAATTCTCCCAATAAAATGAAATTCATCTATGCTAACTCATCTTCCTTTAGAGCAGGGGGTCTTTAACCTTTTATGTGGGCCTGCTGCCAGCCTGTGAAAACTATGGACTCCTCCAAATAACACATTTCAAAGGAGGTAAAATAGGTAAGATTTCAAAGGAAGCCAATTATATTAAAATATAGTTACCAAAATATTTTTAAACATTTGCATTTGCAATATAGTAATATATGTACTTTGTTAGCACATTAAATGACAAAATCTAGTGGCAGTCTAAAAATTACCATAATTCCAAAATATGAGCTGAAACAATATTTCAAATGCCTGCAACAATTGTAAAGTGATATGAAGATGTACCTGCTTTCTGTTGGTGACAAAGTCACAGGCCACCTGACATGCCTATAGTCTATTCCTCACTTGCAATTGAAAGTAATACTATTTTTTTTTTTTTTTGAGATGGAGTTTTGCTCATTGCCCAGGCTGGAGGAATGGCGTGATCTCGGCTCACTGCAACCTCTGCCTCCTGGGTTCAAGCGATTCTCCGACCTCAGCCCCCCGAGTATATGGGCTTACAGACACCCACCACCACGCCTGGCTAATTTTGTATTTTTAGTAGAGACAGAGTTTCTCCATGTTGGTCAGGCTGGTCTCAAACTCCTGACCTCAGGTGATCTGCCTGCCTAGGCCTCCCAAAGTGCTAGGATTACAGGCATGAGCCACTGTGCCCTGCCAATCCTAAATTTTAATTAAAAGTTAGTGAGAATGAAGACCTGATTTTCCATCCAACTTCATAGATTGAATTCTGTCTATGGAACCCAGTTCGAGAACCCTAGTTTAACAAGTGATTTATACCTAGTGTGAAATTTTTAATCAAGTTTATTTCAGTTAACTCTGAGACTAGCCCCTCACCCACATGAAGGTGAAAAGGAGGCTTGGAGCACCAGGTAGGGAGGACGAGGAGGACAGGAAGGGCTCTGAGGATGGGCAGAGCTGGAGAATGGACGCAAAATCAAGATGGGAAGGAGCTGCCTCAGGTTTCATGGGTGTGGTGGTGGGTGGCCTGGTTTAGCTTCTCTCCTGTTCCAGACAGCTCTATAGAGAAAGAGTTCAGGGGGGGGTTTCTATGGGTTCCCCAGTCTGGAGAGCCCAGCTCCTGTGGGCCCTAACTGAGGCACTAGAGGAAGGATGGACGAGCAGAGCCAGGAGGGGGCACTCCTTTGTGCCCAGGCTTCTAGGTCTTCTGGGTTGGGCAGGATACAGAGCAAAACCCCTTCCCCAACTCATACAGCTCCAGTCAGCTGCTGGCTGTTGGCAGGGCAAGGCCCACCCCCCAGAGCCCACCCCCCACAAGCTGTCCTGTGAGATCTCACTGCCACAAAGGTGACCTTCGACCCAGGGTTCTGGGCTTTGCTTCAGGGTGCTTTGCTCTCTGCCCAGAAAAACTCCCCCAGGAAAGGAAAGACAAAGGGGTGGTTACTTGCTGAACTCCCCACAGGTTACCCTGAACCCAGGCCCAGAGAGGGGAAGGGACCTGGCTGAGGTCACCAGGAGGTCGGGGACATGCTGGTGCCCTTCCAGCCCTGGGCTTCTGCTCTCTCCTCCCCTCAGACCAGCTCCCATGGGAATGTGAAGAAAGGAGGACCACAGGCACCAGTGAGGCCACCCTGGGGACACACAGGTGGTTAGAGGCAGCCCAGACCTCAGACATCATCCAGGGCACTTTTATAAACAGGAAAAATGTGGCTGGGCAAAGAGTAGAGGCTCCTGCTAACACCACCAGCTGGTAGGTGGTGAAACCGCATGTTAGCCCTTGGGTACGTGGTTCCCCAACTTGACCATGTATTAGAATCACCTGGATTGCTCACTCAAAACATGTCTGCTGGCACCAGGCCTGACCCTACAGAATCAGCAGTTCTGTAGAGGGGCCTAGGATCAGCACTGTCAATGAGCAGCCCAGATAGCTCCAGTATGCAGCCAGGTTTGGGGCTCATGGCACTGAGCCATTCCCAAGTGTAGCCTAGGAAGAGGTCCTGAGCTGTGGGCAGAGGGAGGGAAGAGCTCGGAGAGAGCATCTGGTTCAAGACACTTGATTCACTTCTTTCTTTTTGTTGGTTGGTTACATCTAAAACTAAGGATGGGTGGTTGGGGTGGGGGCCAGAATTTAGTCTTAGCTGAGCTGGGGGCCAAATGGAGTGTGCCCTGAGGCTTGGGACAGGAGCATGTGGGTGGGACTTCCCATCCCTGACCCCCACACTTATCCTGCCCTTCAGTGGCTATGAGGGATGGCAACCAGGTCACAGGGCTGGACTTTGTGGCCCCAAGCCCCAAGGAGCAAAGCTGGGCAGGGCTTTGGCCTGGATCAATGGCCTTAGGACTCAGCCCACACATAAGTGGGGTGAGTGCAGCGCAGGACAGCGTTCGTGTTCTCCAAAATCTGTCTTCATTCTGACTCAGTCACCAGGGGATTCTGCACCCGGGTCTTACCAGAAATGCACCTCTGAGTTTCAGTTTAGCTCTCTGCCCATCATGTCACCACAGCGGTCCATGGAATCTGATGCATCCCGCAGCTTAGCCCTTCCACCTTGCCCAGCATGCCCTCCTCACCGACAGCCCCCACTCCCAGCCCCTGCCTCTCAGCCTCTAGGGCTGCAATCTGCTTCTGTCTCCTCCTTGAATCACACACTTGGACCCAGCTTCCTGTTTTGCTCTGGGCTCTGCTTTCTCTTGCGGTGTTGGTGTCACGGAAGTCTCAGGTGAGAAACTCCTTTCTGCCATGTGGCTGTCTGTGGAGAAGTGGGGCACCCTGTGGGGAATGGGATACGAGGCGTGTCCATGCACTCCAAGCTGTGGCCCCTTGGGTTATAGATCAGTTTTTATCCAAAGATCCTTGTGATGAGTCCAGGCTTGAGTTTAGTCCCTGTTCTGAGACATGAGTTTGCATTTCTTCTTTCATTGGAAGATGACATTTCAAAAACTTTCCTTGGCTTCCAAAAAACTTAGCATTAGATGATAGAAATCAGCTCATGGGCCCCTTGCTTTTAGGTGATATCTATTGTGTTTCATCCTTGAATGTCAATTTGTCGTGCATCCAAACTCGCTATGCCAAACCTTTTGAATCAATGCAGGGTATACGTCTTAAATTAACTCCATAAAACTTGAGTAGCTAGCATAGAAATTTAAGGAAGTATGTGAGCAGGACGTTATGTCCCCCAGTTCACCTGGCCTTCTTGCACTCAGTGCTTTCAGCAACTGGAGGGCGTTTTGTGTCATGTCTAAGTTAACGACAATGAAGGGATGGGAGTGAAATCAGTTATTGGATAACAAACAAGTGCTCTCATGTCTGATGGGTAGGAGAGAGGGGCACTCACTTCCTCAACACATGAGATGACACTGACCTTTCAGTGAGCTCTCCCCAGGAAAGAGGAAGAGCCCTGGGCGGGCGGGATGGGGAAGGACACTTCGGGAACCATGGAGGAAGCTTGGAGCTCCCTGCTGGAGCATGCAGCCTGCAGGGCTGCAGAGAGAAAACCTGGTACCACCCTGGTTTGGAGGTTTGCTGGCTGTGCGAACCTCGACAATTTACTTCTCCTCTCTGAATGTCAGTTTTCTCAACTGTATGAAGGAAACAGTAACAGCTACTTTGGTTGTTTGTGAGGGTCAAATGCAACACACATACAGAAGCCCGATAAAATGCAAATACTTTTTATCTTCAGTTCTGTGCAGAGGCCACTGTGTTTACTTATGTATTGATTCTCCCTCTCCTCTCTCCCACCCCTATCCTCCTACCCACATGCCCTCACCTCCCAGAAGTAGGAGAGTACAGTTATTTGGTTAAAGCAGTTACACTTTTCGGGATTTGCTTCAGGCAAGAAGACAGTGAGCCCTGGGGATCGTAATTAATGGAGGCAGACTGATTAGAAATGAGCCACTGGATTGGGGTGTTTGCTGATTCATCTTGGAAACACTAGGTCCTGAATCCCAATCGGCTTCTACCACATTGGTCATTGTTCTACGTCTGCACTGTCCTGTGCAGAAGCACCTGTGTTTACTTATAAACTTACATATTGATTCTGTTTCTTCTCCTACCCCCATCTTCCCCCTCATATCCTAAGTGCTCAGCACAGTGCTAGGTACACAGCAGGCACTAAATAAATGTTTCTTTAATTAAACTCCCATTAATAGCTACACTGTGTGAATGGTGCTTTCATGATAGATTTTTTCTGTTACCCCTTGAGTTTCTGCAGACATTAGGATTCACAGAGAATGCTGCTGTGTTCCAAGTCAAAATATTCATTATGACACACGCTGTTTGCAATTTCCACAATCCAAGTCATTACCCATAATGTGCTTGGGGAGGAAAACAAACCTCTCTTGGAAATGCTGCCGTGTAGTGGTTGGGGTCAGAGCTCTACCTCCAAATTCTGTGATCTTTGCAGGAGCACTTCTCTGTTGACCATGACCAGGAGGGATTCCAGGCTTGGGAGCACCAGCCAGAGGACCCCCAACCAGATGAGATCCAGTCACACACCTCAGGCAAGGTCAGACAGCCCAGAGCCCCCAGGAATGCAGCCTCCCAGATGTGTGCTAAGGACAGCATGCTTATTTGGAACGCTGGGTCACCCTGTAATGCATTGCAGAAACATGGAGATCCCCCTGTTTGACATTTTCCCCTCTTAATCCCATTTTTTAGAAATAGCTGTGCAGTGCAGAAGTTTCCTCCTGGTCTCATTAGGTGTCTCCTCATAATTACAGGTTTTAAAGCAAGCTCAAGGCAGAGCCTTTCAGAGAAATTAAACCTAACGAAAAAGAGAAGAGAAGAAGAAAATGCGTAGGAGCTGGATAATTGCACGCCTGTGTCTCTAGCGGTGGGCTCAGGCACACAGAGCAGCAGATGGGATCTAAATTGAAGGAAAAATCGAAATGAAATGCAACTCAGACAAATGATCATCAAAGCAAGCCATGAGAATTTCTGGACAAGCCTCTAGCTAGTTATTTGCTTGGTGACTTTACCTAGGTAATTGGTTCCATTGTTTCTCCCCAACCCCGGATGTCACTCAGCTGCACCTCCTCTCTTTCCTCTTGGTGGGGGATTTCTAGAAACTGCTTCTGGGGCTACAGGTCATAGGACATCAGCCAAGAGACAGTTTTCCTCCACTTTGCCTCCCTGTCTCTCCCTCCAGCTGCTGCACTTTGATCCAACCATCTGCAAACCTACCCAGGGCACATGGGGCTCCTAACCCTGAACTATCACATAGCAGGTGCCAGTTTTGTTTTGTTTTTAACATGGGCTCGTGCTTAGAAGCATCTTCAGCATAGGTGAGTAGAAAGCCAAGGGCTTTGGAAGCAGAATGACCTAGAATGGAGTCCATTGCTTGCCATCTTTTTCACCTTAACCTTCGTTAGCAAACTGTTGACAACAGTAGCTGAACCCTTAGATTAAGTGAGCTATTCTGGAAGGTGCTGGCACACAACAGGCAGCATTCATGCCACTTAGCCTCTAGTTTCTCTGGGGTAAGCACCATGTTCAGAGTTTTTAGAACTTCTAGCCCTTCCAGGGCAGCATGAGGCACTGTGGTCAGTAAGAGGAACCCCATGGGTTTGAGACTCTGGTTGCCAACTCTGTGATCTTGGTCATGGCCCAATGTCTCTGAACCTATGTCTTCCTGGGGCCATCAGGGATATAGAGACATCATCCCAGGCCTGCCTGCCCAGTTCAGCGGATTAGGCTGCCACGAATTCTGGGTAGTAAAGCATGAAAACAGGTTCTATCAACTGTTAAAGGTGAGTCCAAATTAGTGCCTTAGGACAGCTCTGGAAACCCACAAATGAAAAGAGTTCTCAAGAACTTTCCCTGGGGACTCCCTACAGGCTGGCAGCATGACTTTCACACAATTGGTGCCATGGTGAGGGTGATGGCTTCGGAGCTGGAAGAACCATGCTGGCACTAGCCCACTGTGCAACTTCGGCCATGTCCCAAACCTCAGTTTCCTCACCTGATCATGGAAATTATATCCTGATAAGGAACGTAAATGTTCTTTATGAACTGCAAAACCCACGTCTACGTGTTACTTGTTCTTAAAACTCTTCAATCTAGCCCCAGGGACATTCTGCTCTCAACATTACTCACTTGTTGGTACTTAGTTTAAAACTTCTGTAGAAGGGAAGATACACACCTTCACTGAAAACCCACTTATGTTCAAGCATCATTTGAAGCAATTAGCTTACTTAACAAGGCAATGTTTAATGAAGATCGTGGCTGGCAGAATAATGGCTCCCTCAAGATGTCCATGCCCCACTCACCAGAATCTGTGAACATGTTACCTTATGTGGCAATGGGGACTTTGCAGCTACGATTAAGTGAAGGAGCTTAAGTTAGGATATTACCCTGCATTATCAAGGTGGATAATGTAATCACAGGGTCCTTAAAGGATGGTAGAGGGAGGCAGGAGAGTCAGAGGGGGAGCTAAGATGATGGATGCACGACTTAGAATCAGAGAGAGATTTGCAGATGCTATGCTGCTGGCTTTGAGATGCAAGGAGCCAGAAGCCAAGGAATGTAGATGACCTCTGGAAGCCGGAAGAGCCTCTTCTGCAGCTCCAGAAAAAATGCAGCCCTGCAACACCTTGGTTTTTGCCCAGTGAGACTCATTCTGAACTTCTGAACAACAGAACTGTACGATGATAAATCTGTGCTATGTTAAGGCCCCAAACTTGTGGTGATGTGTTACAGCAGCAAAAAGAAATTAATTCATAAATAAATGAAAGCTTCTGCAACTTGTGTACAGAAATCCAATATCCCAGGTACAAAACGGGAGAAAATTGGTTCAGCAGCTGCGCTTTGGAACAGAGCGTGATGACTACATGTCAAGATGTGGTGATGATCACAATGGCAGGTTTAGTGTTGATATTTTCATGAGGAGCGACTGGAACAGAAGTGGAAGTGGCCCACATTTACCAAAGTCATTGGGTCACAAGAATAGTGGGTTCAGTTCAGGACAAAACAATTCTAGTGGGGCATTACACACTGGCACAACCTAAGAGCCATGAGAGAGCAGTAACACTCGTCTCTTGCTGGCAGAGAACAAATTGGTACTGCCTCATTGGATGGCAATTTGGCAACGTGTATTAAAATTTTCAACACACATATTCTTCAACTTAGCAATTGCATTGCTCTGAATTCATCACACAGATAACCTGTACCAAGAAGTACATACAATGCAGGAGATTTATAATTGCCTGGTTTGTAGAAGCAAAAGATTGGAAACTACGTAATACCCATCAAAATGGGACCTGGTTTAATAAACAATGGGACACTATGAAGCTTTACAAATAAGCCGGTGGGGCTTTCTACACTGACGTGCAATAATCTCCAAATTTCATTATTAGTGTTTTTAAAAAGCAAGCTGCAGAAGAGTGTGTGTGTTATTTTTGTCTAAAACACATTTGTAGACATTATAAATGCATAGAGTTCCTTTGAAAACACACACAAGAAAGTAGGAACACAGTTGGCTCAGGAAGGAGAATGAGGGATTGGGGGACGTGGCAGATGAGATGTCACTGGCCCTTCCCCTTACCATCTTCTGCATTTTCTCCTTCCATGAACTTACATTACATACTAAAAAAAGAAAGATACAAAGGAAACAAAGGTCTCTGAATCCAGCTCATGTGTGGGCTGTTAAAGGAACCGGAATGCTTACCCAAGGCAGAGGACAGGACCAATGGAGAAGATTTGTACTTGAAATAGACAAGACTTTTCTGACCGTCAGAGCTGCCTAAAGAAGAGCCAGGCTGTCCCAGAGAGGAATGCATGTCCCGTGGCTGCTGGGGCTATTGAGGTAGACACCAGATGAACCTTTCTCACGGGGTCACAGCACAGTCTCAGGTTCTGGAGGATTTTGTAAAGTGCAGAAAGTCCTCCCTGGGCAGCAGCTGGAATCATGTGGGGAACTTGTCAATCCCACTGATGCCAGGGCTACCCCAGACCATCTGAACCAGAATAAGGAATATGAGCTCTACTCTGGCCCCATCTAATCTTGCTCCAAATGGAGCTCAGAACCTTCCAATGGTTTCCCATTGTACTTAGGACAAAGATTATATCCTTACCAAGGTCTCAAGTCCTCTTGTTGTTCACTCTCTCCCAGCCTCTTTAACCAATTCTTGTCCCTCTCACTCACTCACAAGGATGTGTTCTGCTATAGTCTGAATGTTCATGTCACCCCAAAATTCCTAAGTTGAAATCCTCACCTCCAAGGAGATGGTGTTAGGAGGCAGGGCCTTCGGCAGGTGCTTAGATCCTGAGGGTGGAATCTTCATGAATGAGATTAGTGCCCTGAAAAAGGAGAACCCAGAGAGCTCCCTTGCCCCTTTCTGCCATGTGAAGACACACCAAAATGGTCATTTATAAGTTGGGCATTAGGACCTCACCAGACACCAAGTCTGCCAGTTCCTTGATCTTGGACTTCCCTTGATCTTAGACTCCAGGACTGTCAGAAATATATTTCTGTTGTTTTTAAGCCACCCAGTTTTAGATATTTCATTATAGCAACCCAAATAGATTAAGTCACAGTCCAACTGCTTAGTGCCATGGACTTATCAGAAGTACCACTAACACATTCACTGTGCCTATTGACTATTCTTGGTTATTATTTTTTTTACTTTGATTAAAAACACAGGTGCGCTTGTTACTTACTTCAGGTGTTGTCTAGGAGCAGGGGCAGCCAATTATCTCATTACAGAAACAATGTACTTGGAATAATGACTGTGCTTCAGAATAATCCAATTCCATTCACCTGAGTAAAGTAAAAGACTATATTCCTGTTAAGATCAGGCATACTAAATGGCTGAATTCTTATTCGGGGAGAGGCTAGCTTGGGTGGCTAGTGTATGGAAATTCTACCCATCCACTAGTGGGATCTACCACTGAGATCAAGAATGGGGTGGGTGGAAATGAGGGGTCCATTTGGAGATACGTTGAGTCTCAGGTGGGTGAGTCCAGGGGATAGTTGATTGATGGTTTTAAAGGAGGGAGAGTTGTAGGGTGGAGAGGAAGATTTGGGAATCATCTAGATTTAGGAGGTAGTTGGAGCCATCCAAGTGAAGAAATTGCCCAGCAACTGTGTGTTCAGTGAAAGAGACTCAGAGAACCTCTGATGGGGCAGGTGGAGAGAGAACAGGTGGAGACTGAGAAGATGCAGAGATATGCACAGTGAGAACTAGAAGGAGCAGGGCCGCAGGAACCCACGTTGGAGAAGCTCCAAGACTGAAAATGGGGCAGAAAGCATCAGTAAGGTAAGGCCACCTCGACGATGTTGGACAGCGGAATGAAGACAGTGGGGACTATGGGACTGTGTCAAGTGTGGTCTGGGCAGCAGGGTGGCAGTGAAAGTCAGCACAGAAGACAGAGACGTGAGTGGCAGATGAGGAAGGACTCATCTCCCATTGGATGGATAAAAACTGGCTGCTCCTCTCTGCACACTAAACAAAGTGAAAAAGAAAAAGACAAATGTTTCTATTTTTCCAGCCCCTCACTGGCCTGGAGGCCTCTTCTTCCAACCTCATAGATTCTATGTCTGTGTCTGTGTGCCTGTGTGTGTGTTGTGTGTTTAAGTCACTTTGCTTTCAGATTCTTGCCTTAAAACTATTTAAAACAGGGGGAAAAAGTAATGCATCCTGTATCAGTCAGGGTTTTCCAGAGAAATAGAACCAATATATATTAAGAAATGTATTTTAAGGAATTGGCTCATGTGATTGTGGGGGCGGCAAGTGTGAAACTTAGGCTGGAAACCCAGGCAGGAGTTAATGCAGTTGTCTTGAAATAGAATTTCTTCTTCTCTGGGAAACCTCAGTTTTTGCTGTTGAGGCCTTCAACGGATTGGAGGAGGCTTTGCCCCATTATTGAGGATAACAGTCTTTCTGATTTAAAGTCAACTGAGAGTAGATGCTAACCACATCTACAAAACACCTTCACAGTGACACCTAGATTCTTGTTTGATTAAACAACTGGCTACTATCGCCTAGCCAAGTTAATGCATAAAACTAAACATCATACATTCCAAATCATGCAAACTGCTAATTTCCTGCCTAAGCTTTATCACTGACAGTCTCATTTCTGTTTAACAAGATACTGGAAAATGGAACAAGAACCTGGGGTGGGGTTCCTCCTCTGGCCCCTCAATAAGTCATGGGATAGCAGAGGTGGCTGCAATAACCATGCTTTCTAAGTCAACGTTCAGCTCTTTCAGAGATTTCACCTCCCATGGCCTATAAGGCACAAGGAAACCTCTTATTTACCCAACAGTTATAGTCTCGAAGTGACTTTCTCCACGATGTGTTAGCAAGCAGGCGCTTTCTCAGTGACAAACATTGGGGAGCTGATAAAACGCTCCCTCCCACGCTCCGCTCTTGTGGTGGATTGAACAACAGTAAATTGGTTGAGAGTGCTTGTTGGTATTTCCCCGCCTTTTTTTAATGTCAACCTATTAGCAGCTCTAAGGGATGTCCCTTGAGGGCCACACACGTATTATCACAATGGAAGTGAGACGCTATTGAAACACCCACACAGCCGCCTCTGTAAGATGCTCTTCCTTTCAACTGAACCTGGCCACTCGGGAGTGAACCAGACAGCAGGACCAGCTCCCCCTTGGGCAGGTCACTGGCTTCAGACCAAGACAGAGCAGATGGTGGGGCTGCAGGGGGCTCCTTGGGATTCCTGTTTGCCCGCACCTCACCAGTGGGCTTGCTGCTTTTACTTCTGTGCAGCCGTTCTTTTCCTGGCTTTTAAAATCAGTAGATCCCCAGTGAGCAGCACCCACAAGAGGTGTGGCTGCAGGTCTACCTGGGACGTGGATCTTCATTTCTCAATCTGACCTACTGGAAAGACCCAGTGGCTTGTGGGAAAATGATCAACCTTGGGCAGTTAAGGGCTCCCCTGGCTGATTCCGACAGTTGTTAAGCAAACATAATTTACCTACTTTTTCCTGTTTGGCACTCTCATTTCAGTGTTACAAGAAAAAAGTAGCACCTCTGATCCTGTTGCAATAAAAAGTTTGAGATTAGGGCTGGACACAGTGGCTCACGTCTATAATCCCAACACTTTGGGAGACTGAGGCAAGCAGATTGCTTGAGCCCAGGAGTTCGAGACCAGCCTGGGCAACATGGTGATACCCCATCTCTACAAAAAATATAAGTTACCTAGGCGTGGTGGCGTGCATCTATAGTCTCTGCTACTCAATAGGCTGAGGCAGGAGGATAGCTTGAGCCTGGGAGGTCGAGGTTGTAGTGAGCTGTGTTTGCACCACAGCACTCCGACCTGGGTGATAAAGTGAGACCCTGTCTTAAAAAAAAAAAGTTTGGGATTACTGAGATAAAATGTGGATCCATTAGACCAGGGATTTTTATTTGGGCATCCACAGACATTTTGGGATTTATGAATTTGGATGGTGAAAAAACATTTATTTGTTTTTGTTAACTTGAAATGTAGCTTTCCTTCAATCATGAATGTAAGTGACACTCAAAAGTAGCATTAGCAGCGCCTATGACTTTGTCACTAATAATAATCATGGATATTTTCATATCACATTACAGTTGCAGAATTCTAAAAATAGCATTTCTACTCATCACTACTTCAAAATTACAGCAATATGAGTTGGCTGCCAGATCTTGTGTTTAATGCATTAATAATGAAGCACACATATTACTATATTACACATTTGTTTATGAAAATATTCTTATAATTGCACTTTAAGGTGATGGGTTTCCTTCTAATCCTATGTACATTGTTTTGTACATTGTAAAATATGATTTTGAGGAATCCATGACAGAGAAGAGATTCCAAACCTCTGCACTGGATCAATGGGTTTCAAACTGCAACAACAATCTGAGCAGTCACGGGTCATAAAGTCAGCTTAGCAGGTTGTGATGGCCCTTCTACTTTAGGAAAACAAATGAATAAAATAGAAAGTATCTGAGTACATCATGTACTAAAGATACGTCAAATTTTTATTATTGTGTGGTAAATGCATACCAGTTGAAATGTTTAAAAATCATGAACCTAGACAGCAAGGGTTGTAAAGACAGGAATCATGTCTATATTTTGCTCATCATTGCCTACCTCTGTAGTACTTAGAACAATGCTTGAAGGTAATACACGTATTTGACTTCTCCAGAAAGATGGAACCAATAGAAAATATAGATATATGAGAGGAGATTTATTAGGAGAATTGGCTCAGGTGATTATAGAGAGGTCCCACAACAGACCATCTGCAAGCTGGAGACGCAGGGATGCCACTAGCGTGGCTCACTCCAAGTCCGAAGGCCTCAGAACCAGGAAAGCTGATGGTGTCACTCTCAGTTCCTGGACAAAAGCCTGAGAACCCAGGGAGGGCTGGTGTAAGTCCTGGAGCCCAGAGGCCGAGGAGCACAGAGTTCTGATGTCCAAGGGCAGGAGAAGAAGGGTTTCCCAGCCCCAGGAGAGAGAGAGAGAGAAAGAATCCACCATTCCTCTGCCTTTTTGTTCTTTCTGGGCCCCCAGATGACTGGATGGTGCCCACCCACATTGACGGCTGATCTTCCCCACTCAGTCCACTGACTCACACGCCAATCTCCTCCAGAAACACTCTTACAGATCCACCTAAAAATAATGCTTTACCATTTCTCTAGGTATGCCTTAATCCAAACAAGTTGACACCTAAACTTAACCATCATGATTGGTGCTCATCAAATATCTGTAGACTAGAGAAACGAAAAACCAAAGGGTAATAACCGTATGTTACATTTCTCCATCAAAAATGGTTATAAAGCCATTCAAGAAAGATTTTTTGAGTACTTACTGTGGGCTGGGGGATGCACCTGGCAACAGAATTTCAATAGCAAAGAGTCTCAGTTTACCCTCATGAAGCTTTTAGTCTAGCAGAATAAAAACTTCATTCAGTTTGGGCCAAAAAAAAACCAAACAAACAAACAAAAAAAAAACAAAACCAAAACTGTGAGTCTAAGGTGTTAAACACATATTTTCTGGGTACATGCTGTTTACAAAAACACCGAGAAGGCCACCAGGCAGGTCATGTGGCCTTTTATGTGGAGGATCCCAGCGGACCCTGATGGGAGAGCAACCAGGTTCCCACGAGGCCAAAATGCAAGGCAGAGAAAGCCAAGGGTCACGGAGGAAGTGTGCCCAGAAATACAGGCACAGTTGACAGATTAGCTCTTAGTTATGTCCCCAACTCAGTTTCAAAGTTCTTGAACCTTTTGTGGTAGCAAACAGTTCCTGAAGCTAGGGATAGGGTGGGAGCTGGAGACCAGGCAGATAACAGAGCACAGCATCACTGCTGGTAATCACTTGGGGTCACCTGATGCTCCATGTGGCCCAGAGCATCCGGGCTCTGTGGAGGGCAGGGGCCCAGACTGAGATGTTCCTGCTTAAAGACTGGGCTCAGTAAAGTCACGCTCTGAGATCATGTATGAACTAGGAGAAAACCTGCCCAGTAGGGCTGAATGCCATGAACCTATCTACTTCATACTTGGCTCCAGCAGGGACTATCTTTTTTAAAGCCTCCCCTAAAATATTGTTACCAGAAGCTGACCCTTGGAGAAATTACATCACTGGTGTAATTCAACAGACCTAAGAGAGAACATTTCATTTATAGTGCACCCAGGTCCTCAGTGCCCCCTAAGACCTTGGCAGAAACAAACACAAGTCCTCCCAGGAGGGACACGCTATGCGATTGCTCAGAACTCCCAGAAAAAGAGTGTCAGTAAGTATGAGTCCCCTGTTTACAATAATTACAAAATAGCAAGACAACAAGCCCTTTGATCCAGAGTCAGACCAAACAACACACAACAGAACAGAGCTACAATGACTCTTAATAATGAAATTATCAATTCCAGAATATACAGTAAGCAAATGCAGAAGGCATTGTTAACATGAATAAGGTACAAGAGACTATAAAAAAATGACCAGAAGCAAGTGTAAATTTTGAAAACTGAAAATATAATAATAGGAATTAAGATAATAATGGAGAGGTTTAAGTCCAGAATTGATATAGCAGAAGAGGTCACTGTGAAATGGAGGGTAGATTTAAAGGATTTACCCAGAAACCATAACAGAGACAAAAAGAGATAAAAAATATATATATAAAGGAGAAATTAAGATGTGTGGAAGGTAAAGTAAGGCTAGTCAACAGATAGGTTTTGAAGTTCCACAGGAGATCATGGCAAGATTGGGGAAAAGATGATACTCAGTGAGATTACTGCTGAACATTTTCTGCAAATAATGGGAGGAAAAAATCTGACTTCCTAAATCCTTTAAGCTGGTCTGCTAAAAAGAATCCACTTCTAGATGTGTGGCGTTAAACCTCAACACCAAACACAAATAGAATGGCTTAAACAGCCTGAAAGAAGAGACAAATTACTAACAAAAGAAAAAAAATGATTATACTGGGAGCAGATTTCTCAATAGCAACAAAAATATTATTCCACCATCTTTGGAAACCAGAAAATGGTGGAATAACATCTTTGGATAAATAAAAGAACGTTAACCTTGTACAGCCAGTGAAACTGCCTTTCAAGAGTAAGAGTGAACTGCCTACATTTAGATAAAAACAGAACACTCACCACCCAGACTGGAACTAGGTGAGGCAAGTGAGGTGCCTGGAACATAAAATTTGAGGAGGACTCATTCTCAGTGATGTGAAGTTTAGAATTAGTGCCTGAGAGTGAGGGATAACATTCATATGGTTTGACTGTGTCCCCACCCAAATCCCATCTTGAATTGTAGTTCCCACAATTCCCTTGTGTCATGGGAGGGACCTGGTGGGAGGTGATTGAATCATGGGGACAGATCTTTCCCATGCTTCTCCTGTGATAGTGAATAAGTCTCATGATCTGATGGTTTTATCAGACAGAGTTTCCTTGCACAAGCTTTCTCTTGCCTGCTGCCATGTGAGATGTGCCTTTGCTCTTTCTTCATCTTCCACCATGATTGTGAGACCTCCCCAGCCATATGGAACTGTGAGTCAATTAAACCTCTTTCCTTTATAAATTACCCAGTCTCATTAAGAAAATGTGGCACATATACACCATGGAATACTATGCAGCCATAAAAAAGGATGAGTTCGTGTCCTTGGTAGGCACATAGATGCAGCTGGAAACTATCATTCTCAGCAAACTATAGCAAGAACAGAAAACCAAATGCCGCATGTTCTCACTCATAGGTGGGAACTGAACAATGAGATCACTTGGACACAGGAAGGGGAACATCACACACCAGGGCCTACTGTGGAGTGGGGAGAGAGGGGAGGGATAGCATTAGGAGATATACCTAATATAAATGACGAGTTAATGGGTGCAGCACACCAACATGGCACATGTATACATATGTAACAAACCTGCATGTTGTGCACATGTACCCTCGAACATAAAGTATAATAATAAAAATAAATAAATAAATAAATAAATTACCCAGTCTCAGGTGTGTCTTTATCAGCAGCGTGAGAACAGACTAATACAAACACATTTACTTTAATTTTACCTCCGAAGTGCTTCACTCTAGTCCTGACCTTGTTACCACCAAAATACCCCACTGAGGGACTTCTAGTGAATATATTTCAAGAAGAAGGAAACTAACCCCAGGAAGAAGGTATGAGACATAAAAAGAAATGAGTTAGTGAAATACAAAATGTTTAGACAAGTGTAGATAATTGTGGGAATAGATGAAAGTAGAGTGGAAACGGGGAGAGGTTGGGGAAAGCCAAGGTCTTGACTAAAGTCGACGGAGACTCAAAGCAAGGTGGTATTTCTCAGTGGGACTCTGGGTCTATTTGGGAGGAAGCACCAAGGGGAGGAGCTAAGGAATTGGCTGGGGGTATGAGAGAAAGAGCCAGGTCAAGTAGAATAGTTCTAGGGTTTTTGCCGAAGCAGAGGAGGGATGGAATTGCCACCCACATAATGACGGGAAAACTGCGGGAGGAGCAGACTGGGTGAGGAGCGGTCTGGGTTCAGCTTCCACCAGGCTGGCTGACCACAAATCCTCCTGTGAATGGGACTTCACTGTTGAAGGCTGGTTGGGGCCACTTGGTGGCTGGCATCTGCTAACTTTTAAACTCAGAGGCTAGACTGCA